TCGAATGATAACGCTGAAATAATTCTAACATAATTTTAGACACGAATTGTGGAAAAATAAAAAAAATAAAAACAATGACAAAATGTAAAAAAATATTTTATTGATATCATTAAACTTGAATAACGAATGATGTGATATTTGCGTGGCAATCTCTGACGTCATAGTGGTAATTCACATATCTCCCGAATAAAATTAATCTGGTCATACAAATAAAAGGACAATTATGACGTCTACAGAAGCATACAATAACGATAATGTTCAATGAACATGTCATTATTACTCGTCGCGTGATGATCACGTGATTTGTTGGTTGTCATAGCAATACTTCATCACTGAACGTTGTGACCTTCAGTGCATTGATGAAGGACTTCGCCATCATGATGTTGTCTTCGTTGTTTTAAGGCGTCGCATCACCTTTACTACGGCTTGTATCCACACCAGAAACATGCCGATCAAAATGAATAACCTCCAGGAGGCGGGTGAGTGAGTGAGATATAGTATTCCAATATAAATAACCCATAGCTCTAACCCAAATATTAATATAACATGTTAATTGTGCTACAATATATTAAAAATAAATCATTGTCTTTCATCGCAGCGGAATAAATAAATAAGTAAATATTGTATCGTATTATTATCAATGTATGTGAAATAGCAGTGTATGTTTCATTCATGTCAACCCATAGCAACAATATCGAGTATGTGTTCCATTGACCTTGACCAGACTATTATTATTATTATTATGTGAAAAAATTATGTCAATTCAACCATCTGCCGTGATATTTAGTGATCTAGTACAAATAAAGTTAATATAAAATAATTAAACATAATATATTCGTTTCTTATATTTATAGCTTTTTATGGCGACTGTCGAGACATCCTGAAAGCATTGGAGCAGGGACAGGTAAGGACAAACACGGCATTATACGCGATACGCGTGTACGGACGATGATGCGCCTATGCATGGGTGTGATAGCGATGATGTCAAACGGAGGACGCTGTGTTTTCCCGCCTTATGTAAACGTTTACGTTTGAAGTACTGTTATTTGTTATCAATGTGTGTGTGTGTCTTTATACCACCCTTTGTGGCCTCTCTGTATTAACAACATATACAAAGCCAACATACTTTCCTTTGAACATGCATATTATTTACACAGATACACTGTTCTGCACACTGAGTTCACGACAACATCGCACGTGTCACCTTCACTGTGGCCCATGTGTGAACTGCATTTGTAACATGTTTTGTTTTGTTTTGTTTTTATCAAAACTTTATTACTACCTGTATATTACTATTTTTATATAATGTTTCTCTACGTTATTGTATATTGATAAATAGACGAATCTCCGATTTTGACTGGAAAACAGTGCAAATGAAGTCACCTTATTACAAAAATCATGAGTCAGACTATATTTTAAAATAAAAGCATAATAAATAGGTATAAACATGGAACTTGAGATATAACAACATATTTTAATATATATGGAATACAACTTGAAATTTCAACAGGGAAAACAAATCAAGTATCAGACTAGTGAACGAAGTACCCCATGATCCATTTCGTTAATATTTTGTGTATATGCAGACTATTTTATATGATGGTGTTTTAGGAGCCGAACGCCTTCGACAAGACCGGTACGAGTGCGGTACATAAAGCAGCTGCTAATGGCCGAACCAAGGCACTTCATGTCCTGGTGGAACACGGTGGTAATGTTAATTTACGGGACAGCACAGGATGTACGGCTTTGCACGCAGCGGCCAGAAATGGACATCTAAGTAAGTCGAATATATATCGTTGTCATGGTAATATATGTTAGAGATGATAATATTCTTTATTGTGATCGATGAAATACAGTAAAGTGTAGATATTATGAAATTTGTGATAATGTATGTTATTTTCTTTATGTTCCGAATAATCACCATAGCTACATACTAGTATTGATAATAATATTATAATTTGATCTTCTTCAAAATCTCAGTTAGTGTGTGCATGTGGAATGAGTTACCTGAATACTTTGTCTTCAGATACATTAAAATGGCTGGTAGAACACGGGGGAGATATCAAAGTAGAATCAACGAAAGGAAACACGCCCAGACTAAGTGCCAAGTCACAATCACAGAGCGAGGTCGTTGCATATCTCAAGAAATTAGGTATGTGTCAATCTTAATATCACGTGACACCGAGACAGAGGCGAGAAACTCGACGATAATATGACAGTGTTGATACTCACTCAATGTCACCCTAACGCTTCTCAGTTTATTTTTAGCTGCCTTAATAGTGCCTTAGGACCCCCTCGCAAATTTGAGGTTGAAGTGTTCTTGTCTTCAAGTCGTTACTCGATTTGCCACGTATCGCAGCTAATAATTGACTCCCTTTTATATTATAGAACGAGAGAAGTTTGACTGGGAGACTGAAGAAGTTTAACAGTTTTTAATACAGATAAACTCTTTACTCGTAGCCCGTATTATCCAATTTTTATTGCCAGTCACCATGAACCGAGGCGGACTGAATTGGGGACAGGATTTGTCTTGCATCACAGGAATTCTGTGCACATAATTATGTTGAAATATGTTTGAGAGAGATAGCAAGCAAGTGAGACAATGATGTGCGGGTGCATTGTACGACATTGTAGTCAATCATGGGTAAGGGCAATATAATAGTTGAAAAGGAGGAGTGGGTGATGCCAAAATACACTAGGCTTAGTATAGTAAGGGAAGTAAACATATTAGAACTGTACTAAAACACATGTAATTAATTTAAACTATTTACACCAATATTTCACCAATACACTTCTTTCTTTCAAATAATTGTATATAATTGCATTGAGACTAAATAATAAACATAGTACGTGTATACCAGTGCTTTATGAATAATTGTTTGAAATGATAATGGCTACGGTCAGTAACCTGTCACTAACCAAGTGTCTTTACTGCAGTGGACCTCGTGTGTTCGTTGCTGACTGTTACTGATGTATACACGCTACTGTGAAAGGGAAATTACGTCAAAGACGGTAATTTAGAGGTGAATATTTATATAAGTAGTATTACTTAAATACATACTCTATAGTTTCTATGTTTTAAGTGTTTGGGAAACTTGCACTACCGTTTCGCGCTCCTTTTGTGTCGAGTTTAGAATACTTCTATGAGCGCGCAAAGATGCATTCACGTTTTTTTTGAAAACATTCGAACACGGGACGTTTTTACGACCTGCTTCCCTAACTAGACGTTCGTTCGAATATCATAGAGTATTTAAATTTGCAGGTTAATTGTTAGAGTAGTTTTATTTTGTCTCTTAATTAACAACGAACGGCAACTCTCAAAGTAAATGAAGTAATAATGGAAGAGGATATCAGAAATCAACGAGGTGACTTGCGGGATAGCACGAAACGAAAGAAGAATTTCGACGTTCTCGATGTTCTTGAACCATCCAAGAGGAAACATGGTATTACCAAAGATACCCGTGTTAAAGAAAATAAGAAGACAGAGGTATTACACAATTAGCGCATGAATGAAAGTTGTATAGTATTTGATACGTGGAAAGACACTTGGTTTAGAGGTGTGTCATATTTGTTCTTTGCTTCTGAAGAATGAGGCACCCTGGGCCTGAATGACACGTCACATTCTACTGTATATACATGTAGTAGTTTATGTCTAACTATTAAGTTAACACGTACAAAAATACGTTCTAAAGCACCGCTATCTTGCCCTAATATTCAGAGATATATTTAGGTATTTAATTTTCCATACAAAATACTATCCTCATTAGTACCTAAACCCGTGATACTGTGACCTTTGTTGTCTAGGAACGACAGAAGATGACGCCTTTTCACATTATCAGGGCCGAGAAAATCATCGCAAAGCGAGACCTAGACCAGCCATCTGGCAACCCCCTCGATTTGGATGAAATCAAACTAGTGAGGGCGCACCGAATTATCAGAGACGATGAACAAAATGATGAAGACGGCGAAGATGAAATACCATACATTGACGAAAATTCTGACGATGAAAACAGTGACGAAGTGGTGTATATTTCATCTGTATTTAACACTGTGGGCATTCTGTGTGGATGTAGTCGTCACTATAGACGGGACGGCGTCATTCAAGCCAGACGGCTCAAACATCCATAAACGTCAACAGTGTTCAAATCCTGTTTTTTGATATTTTTATATGATATGATATATGTATGAAAGGTAAATATAATCATGATAATGACATGTATAACCCATTGTCTGTAATATTTACAATCCACTGTGATGACGTCAACTGTGTCTCTATAAATTATATTTTCAAATGATATGAAAGAGGGCAGAAGCTAATAACTATGAACAAATGTTCGTTAGGAAAAAAATGTGCTTTGTCTCAATGTCCAACTATCTAATTATACATGTAGAGCTTATCAACTTACTCTTCCTTCAAAGAAACGTAGTTACTTACCTACCCTCCAAATATTTGTGTAATCGGTCCAAGTTTGTCGGACGGAGGCGTTCACGATTGGTTCGTTGTATGAAAATATGTTTTTTTAGACGACTCGATAAAAACAGATATATTTGAAAAGACTTTATCTATTCGATTATTGTTTATTGGTACTCATTGTTTTACAGACCACTGCTATGTAAAAAAAAGCACAGCACATGTACAAAAATATGTAATTGTTTGTCTATCAAATGCCATAGAGCAAAGCTGTGTACAGAAAATAAGAGGCGTATCGCCAGTATTAAAAGCGGTGTATAGACACGGTGTGCCCGGATAATAGGCACGATGATATTACAAACAAGATAATGATGATATGTTCAGCATTGCACTTACAAGAGCGCATTTCTCATATTCATCCAATAAAATCATGCACGTGACTAAAAAGTCAACAAGGTGTTTTTGTTCAAGGTACGACAGTGACCATAACCAATATTCGTAGGCACTTTACGTAAATGCTTTTTTTTTTAACTCTACGCTACATTATATGATAACGCTATAAATTATGTGATAACCTAAAACTTCATAAGATATTTAAACTACTAAGCATAATAAAAACGCTATTTTCACTATGACACGAAATACTACAGCTACCTTCACCACTCTTTGTTTTACTAACAGTGACAACTTGCATTATTGCAAGATATACAAAACAAAATTCCGGTTACTCTAGAAACTACTAAAAGTACTAAATCATTGTTACTACGGTCACTACTACTGCACAAGTTTTTTTAAATAATTTTATAAAAACAAGAGTATGTTGTGATCGTGGTCTTTGCAATCTAATCTGCTCGTTTTATGTCATATACTCTATACAGCCTATGGTTCAGCATGATATGAATATGTATTCTATCTACACACGTGGCCTTTTGTTATTACACAATACAACTTTCTTTAAAGCATAAGCCTGCAAGATATCCGGCAACTTTATTCGAAGACCGGGCGACATTTTGCCGGTCTATGATGGACTGGTGGAATATTAATTTTGTCGTGGAACAATTACAATTTTTAATTATTCTATTAAAAGGGTTTTTGAGTAATTTAAAAAGTTATCAGTAATTTTCCATCACGGGCACTGATTCATTGATATTTCCGTTCTGCGTTTTTTTTTTTCAAAAAATGTCTGCGGTGTTTTGTTGTTGTTGTTGTTGTTGTTGTTGTTGTTGTTGTTGTTGTTTTTTGTTGTTGTTGTTTTTTTTTTTTTGCAAAACTGTGAATACCTTACGCAATTTACTGAAAAATGACGGGATATTTATGTGTAGGTTGTTATCTTAGTAGAAAATAAAACGTAATGTGATCGTCTCAGATGCATACAGAATTCGGCACTATAGCAGGGTGGAGGTAGTCATAGTGATGACCCTGGCGTCCCTTGTTGCGCATGTTGATACCTTTAGATATTTCTCTCAACTCGTTGCGAAATCTGAAAAATATAAAAATAATGATACTATGAAGTCTGATGCATTCTTAGATGAGATCACACAACTATCTCTGTAAATAGGTTATACCAATCAACAACATGTAACATTGATAAATATGGAGCTAAAACAGTTGCGGAAAAAGAATGCTCCGAATATTATCACTCTCAGAAATTCTAAAATGTATGTATTTATTTAAGCTGAGACAGGATGTGAGTAATTCACACAATTATAAATATTAATACATGTATCGCAAATGAGCTTCTATATTCAAATTGGACTTGTGACGGTTTCCGGCGTACCATGTCGGTACCTAGTCGGACCCACCAGGGATAAATACTTTGACATTCTTATTATCATTAATACGTCATTATGACGTCATTGGGTTAAACTCACTGTCGCAATGATGACAGTCCTATTGGATCATACAGGAACTGTACTTCATATTCTGACAAATGGTTGCCATGGTGACCACTGAATATTTTGGAGATTGCCATGATGTCAACTGTAGTATCTTTGGACGGCAAGCACTTAACAATATCGCTGACTCGGAGCGCTTTCTGTGGAAAGATGTGTACAGTGTTCTCTACATTATGGTTGTCATGGTATCAATATATGTGCAAATATTACAGAACATAACCTGTGATCAAATTAGAAATGCCGTAATTCTTTCGATTTCTTAGACATCGCGAGCACATTAACCTTAAACTGGGACAATGAGAACGCTATTTGAAATGAGAATCACACGAACCTTTTTCTTTGGCGGCGCTTCTTTCAACAAGGTTGGGTAATTCGGCGGGTAACCATATTCGTCATATTGTGGGCACGTGACAGCAGCGTGATGTACGCTACATGTGAACAGTATGCCAGAAACAGTGTTGATAAGCTCGTCTAACGTACCAAACATATCAATACCAGGAACACCCTGTTAACAAGACACGCTCGTTGAGACTCCTTAGAGAACTTGAAGTGGATATGTTAGACCTTTGCAATACCCATTACTAGTATATGATACTAGTAGGAAGGAGCATTTTCCAACAGCTCTCTTTACACCCAACTACTGGATTCGTAGTCCCCTGTATTGAATCCAAGCATTGTTACTCTATGCGCAAGGTACTATGGGATGGATAATGTGATTTGGCATCCATGAAAACTTTCGACTTAACTTAACGTCCATTTCACATATCAAATACCACATTGCCTGGTTAACGCCAGGATAGCGCATTAAACTGCTATTTGATAGAGAGGTGGTAGCACAGTCCTGCCATGGTGAATATGGCTTATGTGTCAAAAATGCGTGTCAACCCGAGCACTTGCAATTTGCACATACAAAAAAAACGTCAGGGAAGACAACAGTGACATTCAATGTCCAGAACTGTCGCCTGGCACAAAAAAACATTTGAAAAAACAAAAACAAAATAACACTATATTGTTGATGTCATTACGCACCTGAAGTCCACAACCACCCTCCTCTAAAGACTCCACAAGTTCTTCTCTCCATTTCTGTACTTCTGAGTCTTGCTCAATGTCCTCCATACTATTCTCTGTTAACAAAGAGAGTACAATGAAAGTCACGTTCAAGCAAAGTCACGTTCAAGCAAAGTCTAAATAAAACAATATACGAGACGAGATATGTAAAATTTGACTTACTGTAATGTCCGGATAGCACAGTTCTAACGTATCTCCTGATGGCGCCATCTAATGCAAATGCATCGTCACGGTACGGGTAGTACGGCAGAAGGTTCACATCCAATACCTATAAGATCGTATCGTATGTTACACTCTCCTCATTACACAGTGTGATTCGTAATTGCTCTCAGTACCGTATTTTGAGAAAATTAGAAAAATATTATTCAAATATTTTCAGAACAATTCCATAGAATACAATGTTAAAGAAATAATACTGTTTGGCAATTATTAAAACCCATTATTTTTTTAAAAATAATTCTCAACAAAAAATCATTATGTACGTTTTCACCATACGTCACTAGACGATTCTCATATCTCCATCATAAGAACCAATGGTAAACATTACCGAGCAAGAAGCCCGAACAATACCGAGTATGAAGCCCGAACAATACCGAATACCCCATAAAATGACGCAGTACACTAACCCCTCTGTTCTGCAAATCTCTCTGCAATGTGCCTTGAATATTCAATCTCCATTTCTCAAAGCTGAAATAAAACATTTAAATGTTAGTTTTGAAAATACCACAAAGACATTTATTTATCATCTATTCATCTCTAAACATATTACAGATCAGTCAAACTAAAATAAATCTAGATCTAATCAACGAACCACAATTACGTTCATAACACAATGAGACGTAATAGAAAACTGCGCTTCACACCCGCAACATAGTGTGACGTAAATAAACACCACACGTTGTGACGTATTATACACACACCTTCTTCTAGTTATTTCATTGAGTCCTACGATTCCAATGTTGGTATTTGTATCCATCCAGCCTCCAGGGTTTAGTATGTATGACAATGCTCGGCTACATGGGAAATAAAACATGTAAGTAACATTATTAATAAACATTGTCAAATAAATGTATATTACTACCGGTAAATATTACTGTTATTGTGTAAGTTCGAGAATGGTTGATCTTTGACGTCATGTTCACGCCGCTGTTGACTTAGGACATCGTTCATTGGCTAAATAGCACGATGGCGACAGAAATGATGACGACTCCATAGAAGCCCACATTTAGTTGGTTAGGTATAAGTCAATCATTTCTTGGCACATCTTAAAATATTCGTAATAACGCACTTTACATGTGCCATAACAATTCGGGGCATTTAAAAACACCTACTTGTTAACTGCCATAAGGTGGACGAAATGTGGTGCCAGTATTTTAAAAATAGGATGGGACGAGGATAGATTTCTATGGGTACACACAGCTATAGACTCCATGATAAAATGAGACAAACCTAGAAATTAACGAAAGTTAAAAATTGTAGATAAACATAATATAAAACAGAGTAGGTGTCTTAATGTATTGGTTACCAAGGGTTGCAAGTAATTACGAACTACTAAGTACTGTAAAATGACT